ATATATATATATGTGTAAATAACGCGTATTTTATTTCTTTCCCTTATGTGTCATTACCAGGTGGATAAGATGGGTCGTGGTTATCAGGGCGATCCATCCTCCGCTCTGCTGGAACTTCTGGACCCTGAACAGAACGCCAACTTCCTCGACCACTACCTGGATGTTCCTGTAGATCTGTCAAAGGTAGGAGTGTGTGCTCCTTATGTTCATTACCACATTGGTGCTAATAACATTTTTACATGTCTTCAAAATGTCTGTAAAGAGCCCCACGCATCTCTGTCTGTCCCAATACAGGTTCTGTTTATCTGCACGGCCAATGTGCTCGACACCATCCCCGAGCCGCTCAGAGACCGGATGGAGATGATCAATGTGTCTGGATATGTTGCCCAGGAGAAACTGGCTATTGCTGAGGTGTGATATTATATGTATTTTGACCTTGAAAAGGATTACGGTTATTGTTGTATATTTGTAATGATAGTTTTGGTAACAAGTACTACGTAAAAAATTAATATGCCTTGCTATTACATAACTTTTATTTCTTGTCCGTCTGTCTGTCTCACCAGCAATACCTGGTCCCTCAGCTGCGCTCTCGCTGTGGTCTGACTGAGGAGAACGCCTCAATCTCATCCGACGCCCTCGGCCTGCTTATCAGGCAGTACTGCAGGGAATCAGGAGTCAGAAACCTGCAGAAACAAGTTGAAAAGGTAGAATACTGTAAAGCTTTGGCTGTACTAAACCAGAGCTCACATGTGTCGGACTACTAGAACAAATATTTCAGTCTTAATCAGCTTTACATCCTGCATATATATTCTACTACTACTTCATCCGTTAAAAGGAACAGCAGAGATAACTGGTGTGCAGGGTAGGGGGATGGGTCAGAAAGCAGCAGAAAACCACCTGCTAAACTTCAATCTTAAAGTTTCTTATATCGGTTTGGAAACCAATAAGTGGACTGTGACAAAGACAACATTATTTCTCATTTTCATGGGACAGTCTGTCAAGCAGCTCATCTTCTAATGTTCTTTTGTGTGTAATCCCTTTTTCATCTGTCTGTCAGGTTTTCCGAAAGGTGGCATTCAGTATTGTCAGCGGTGAAGAAACCACAGTGACCGTTACACCTGACAACCTGCAGGTCTATGTGGGTAAACCCATCTTCACAGTGGATCGAATGTACGATGTCACCCCACCAGGAGTGGTTATGGGGCTGGCATGGACTTCTCTTGGTGAGAGGCGCGCACACACAATCAAACCAACACCAATAAAAGATGTGACATGCTGAAACTCTGCCTGCACTTTCTTCTCTTTGTAGGAGGGTCAACGTTGTTCATCGAGACTTCACTACGCCGGCCTACTGGAGGATCGGACCCTAAAGTAGAGGGGTCACTGGAGGTCACAGGTCAGTCAGGAAGGACATGACTGAGTTTAATTAAACACTATCAAGCACCAGTCTGATATTTTCAAAAGAAACTGAACATAGAGTATATTAATCAAACACTGAGACACCTAAATATTTATCTATACATTCTTATTTATAAAAGTTGTATTTTAGGATAAAATAGAAATCTTCAATCTTCATTGCTTCTCCATTTTCTCCGGAATGGTAATGTAGTCTAGTTTAATTACAATAGATTCCTATTTCTTATCCTCTTACCTTTCAGAAGAGACCAGATGTATACATCTACGCCTTACGGTGGAGGAGCTGTACCTTATTCATTGTGTGTGTTATTCTATTGTTTGGAGGGATAGGGCAGTAAAGATGTTGGTGCTCCTCTGCAGGTCAGCTGGGTGATGTCATGAAGGAAAGTGCAAAGATCGCCTCAACCTTTGCCAGAACCTTCCTGATGACGCAGGAACCAGAGAATCACTTCCTGGTCAACTCCCACCTGCACCTGCACGTCCCTGAGGTAACCATGGCAATGCAGTGATGTATATAAAGTACTACCTGATTACTATTGCTTCATCTGTTCCTTTGACTCATTCTGTTCTAGCTACTAGGGATGCGTATCGTTAGGGTTCCATCCATACTAGTACTCTTATTGGTTCCTTATACATACTCATATCAACAGTGCTACATTATTCTTGTATATAAACAAAGTCTTTTTGAGCAGCAATACAAGAAGTTCCGAAATTAAAAACATACATTTGCAGCGAAACAATTACAAAAGTGATTCGCTTTTATCAAAGTATTTCCCCGCTGATGTTAGCTGCAGTGGACGAGGACGGGCATCTCTGCACACTCATGCTCTGCTTGTTTGCCAATCTTTTGATATATTGCTGGTATTACCTCGCTTACTTGAAGGTTTTATTGTATTCAATACAGAGTTCTCAGCATCTACGGGAGTAAAATGTAGCCACACTTTGGATCTTTTTCTTCTCTCTGCCATTGTGTGTGTGTGTGTGTGTGTGTGTGTGTGTGTGTGTGTGTGTGTGT